AAGTGCGAAACATATTACCACCCCCACCCCCTCCACTTCATCCATAAATACCCCTTATACATAGAAAAGGTATTTTAGCAAAAACTAAAAATAACAATAATGTTAGACGAGTTCTGCTGATGTTGGACAAGTATTTTAGTATATTTAAACATTGTCATCATCATCATCAGTAATCTGTCAAGACGACAGGTCCACAGTCTCTTCCAAAACAATTCCTCCATTTAATGCGATCTAGAGCTTTCTCCTTCAAATGACAGTATCCTCTTCTGTCCCCAAGGTCATCCAGCATCTTCTTACGTCTTCTTCCTCGTCTTCTTGTCACTTCTATCCGCCCCTCTATCTTTCCTTCGATAACTTCTTTTAGAAGGCAGTTTCTGCGTAAAACATGACCCATCCAATTAGCCTTCCCTTTTCTTATTTCGTGTAGGATATTCCTCTGCTCACTGACTCTAATTAACACTTCTTCATTTCTCGCATAATCGGTCCAACTGATCTTCTCCATCCTTCTCCAACACCACATTTCAAAATTAAACATTTTAATCTTAAGTAAAAACTTCATACGTATATGTCAATACTGTTAGCAATGGATCCATTGCGCCACGCAAGTTAGTAGTGAGCGGGAATACATTTTGTTGTTTATAAACGCCTGATGATGGTCGTAAAGGACCGAAACGCATATTTTAATAAACTAAACTGATTTATCGACAGTTTTATTTTACCACTTATAATTGTTGTGATCGACTATCTTATTTACATATTAATCATTACTACGTATTACAAATTGGAATGGACTCATCTTCTGTTGAGCTAGTTCACTAGTTCAACACGTATGGAATTACAACTTCTGTGGAGGTGCACATAATTTTCAGTCGAAACAGCTTTATGACAAAGTGCATTAGCACAAGTTAGTGGAGCTCTGTAACTTACATTTACTGCATATTTTCTGAGCATGCAACAGTTTTGTTCTGTTTTGCAAGGAAACATAATTTTAGTTGTCTCGTGTTTTCATTTCATTAAAGAGGGGGGAGGGAGAAAACAGTGGGGAGTTATACTAGAGGGGGTCTCAGTTTTGAAAGTAATCGTATTAACTTGCAAACTCCAATAAAGGAAAACTAACGGCTTTCTGTGTACTGTAACTGCTACATGTTTTCTTTGATCTTTTCGCGTGTGTCTTTTGATAATCATCTTTAACATAACCTGTGTTGTATATTGCAGCCTTTGTACTATACGTTTGTTTGACGCTTATGTCTTCTCTCTGTCCGTTACAATCCTGCATACGAACTTCCATACATGTAAGCGGTCTGGCATTCCGGTGACGTGTCTAGTTCTAGTCGTATCCGGATCGGATCTCAGCGGAGAATCGATTATTCGCACTTCATCTGTGATTTCCCTCATACCGTTCGGACATATTCGTACGCCGAAACATTACAAAGGCAAGGCCCCTATGTTAGGTTTTTATTTTTCGGAAAATCATAAAGGCCGGCTTTGTAGACTTAGACGGAGATGGGCTGATAGGCCAGGTGACCATTGAGGCAATTCTTGAGGGTTAAGATGTGAAATTAATGTGAATGTGTAGGGTTCGCTTACAGTTGCTTGTAACTGCAATGATGAACAGTCGCTGTATATAAACGCAGCATTTCTTGGTGGTTTAATATACATCGCTCGCCCAAGGAACACTGCAATCCTTAAGGAAGTGCGTAATGTAATACGAAGCAGTACTTACCACGCTAGTTTCATTTTCCAAGACCCTGCAACCTCTCACACGGACAGATATTTGTATGCCATGCCAACAAATTCCTGGCAGGACAATCCGTGAATGATTTTTATCCCAGCGCCATGCCAGCCATAATCGGCTTTCACAAATAGAGCACAGCATCCAATTCGTTATTTGTGTTCGTGGGAATGGCAAGTGTTACCAGATCTGATTTAATCAAAATCAGCGGAAATAAGAGGTCAGTATCGAGCCACATTCTTTGGTCACAAAATAGTCTTGTCTTTCAATGCTCGCTACTTTTCAGTAGATACTCGGGAATATGGATCTATACATCCACTCCCCCATACATCTTCATGGCGTAGTGCTTAATTAGTTAAGCACAGGGACATCTTTACCTACATCTTCTCTTTATCTATGGCTCTACAGCCCTTTTGTTCGACTTAGCTCGATTTGCACTATCTTGATCTTTTTGCACAGTCTGTAGGACTCCTTGGATGGGGTCAGCCCGTCGCATGGCCGCTGATTGCACACACTGGGCAGCGAAACACGGAATAAACGTACACAGACATCCATGCCTTGAGTGGAGTTCGAACCCACGATCCTAGTGTTTGAGCGGGGGTAGACAGTTCATGCCTGAGACCGCGTTGCCGCCGTCATCGGCACCTGAACTTTTACTTAGGGATAGTTGTTAATGCGTGTTGTTGGGTGTAATATTAGGTGTCGTGGTTCGTTACTGTGAGTGTATTCATATTTGTAACTACATATTATCCTTAGAATTAACGTTGTATTAGCTACACATAGCTACTTTGCATTTGCTTATACGTTCTCATTGGAGCTGTGGCTTTATGTTGCCCAGAGCTGTCATGAAATCGTTGTTGACAGATGGAACAATTAGGCTTACCTTTCTCTGCGTAAACATCCTCTTTACGCGGGACTCGTACTATTATTTGCTCTGGAGAAGTGGAAACGAGGTGTGAGGGGAAATAGTGACCTCTGCCTGCGGGAAACTCAGAAGAATTCTGACCCTTAATTCGTTTCTCTCGCAGTTCAAAAGGCCAGCATTCTCCTTAGCTTGACTGTCGAGTATTTTATTGTGTTGGCCAAGGACAAGGATTTAAAACAGGGGAAATGGGGTGGGGGAAGCAGAAAGGAATGGATGAAAAATGGTTCCAAGAAGAGCAGCGATGAAGGAATAGGGGGGGGGAAGGGTTTAGGTAGTTGAAACAATAGGATAATCGTGAGATTGGAAAATAGTATAATTCATCTTTTGTATTAATAATCAGGCCTCGAAACTCGTATTTATGACTTTTAGAAGGCAAGCTTATTTCAGAGGGCGTGAAATTCATACTGGGAGATGTTTCATTTGAAATTAATGTACTTTACAATAGTTGTCATGTCGTTTCAAACGGTGCCGTAGATTCTGAATATTTGACGTACACTGTAATGCGGTCTTATATTTAATATTGTAGTTCAGCCAATTTTTCATCGAGTTATAGATGGCGGGTGTACCTGACGTGGATTGTAATGCGGTATTATAGTTGATACTGCAGTTAGGCCATTTTACCCCGAGCTGTATACAACGAATACATGACGCTTGCTGTAATAGCGAATTATATTTGATACTGTAATATGGCCTACAATTACTTGTCTAGGCGACAGATTCATGTACCTCTTCCGTTTTGTTTGCGGGTTATATGGTAGCCTTCAGTATGGGGCTATCATAATCCACCCGTGGTGATCTGCATTCTGAAAATCCCAGTCTATGATTTCGGTCCCAGAAGATAGCTGGTCTATATAAAAACCTTGCCATTGTGTAGTTAAGTAAGCGTCATAGGCGTTGGTAGTTGCGTATAAGAACGCCAGGTGGCAGTGAGAAGTACGTATGCTGCAGTCAGCAGTGCGGTTTTGACCTTTGCCCACAAAATAATTTCATTGTGGCAGTAACTTATTGTGTTAAGAGGAGATCAGTGCAGGGGCTGTGGAAACTGTCTCTTGGAACAGGAATCGTTTGTTTGGAAGGTTGCGCCCATTTGTTGCATTTAAGACCATACAGAGTATGTGTGTGCGGCTGCGTATTATTGCAAGGAAACCTCACGAAATGAGCGCAGGAAAATGGAGTGTAAGGCCGTAATGTCGAAATATAGCTGTTACAGAAATTCATAAAGTGGCTATGTTTATTTTATTACTTAAGGCCAAATCACTCATCCACCGACTGTTACGGTTTTTTAAAGTAGTGATTGAAAGAAATTCAAGAACACGAGAGGTTAGATATTTTTGAGGAAGTTAGTTTTATAGGCAACCTCTAGATAACAGCACCGCTAAGGCATATTGTTGTTATATCTAGTTTAGTATCCTAATATAAATTAGCCTTTCCACTACTGTTTAAGTTGATGAGTTTTGTTTCTAACAGTTACGCGTTGAAATGTTAGCAAACTTTATGCTAGTGGTAAAAATAAAGCGATTCCCAGTGGAAGCCTTAAGGCATATGTTCTTATGGCATCCTTCCAATCCTACTAATCTTGTTCTGATAACGTATGATTTAGATAATGTAAATGTAAATTTACAGTCCAGCAGTAAAATTCGATTTAGCTCGTGCGTCAGCCTGCTGCAGTCATGGGCAAGTGGTCACAGGATGGAATCACTTTTATTGGTTTTGGAGGGAATTGTTACTTAGCTGCAGATTTTGTCTGCCTTAGAGGTGTCGGACATAACCTAAAAGTCTCACACCGGCCGCACTGTTACTTTATTCGATGCCTGACCATGATTCGTGTATTTAGTATATCTTGTATCCATTGTAGTATCGTGTAAACTTTGATTTCCATGTTGGATGGGCTGAGTAATATATGGAAGTAGCAATTTTGGACCATGTCTCATAACGGCAGGAACCTCGAACTGTAGATACCGGACCCACAGCTCCTGTTTCCTCCGTAGTTCAGCGTCATTCAGTTTCATAGGACAAAAAAACACACAAACAAACAAACAGACAAACAGCGTGGCTTGAGTCCGCAAGCGAACTATACAGACCGAGCACCGCCCCTTGTCGACGAAGTTAGTGCCAGCTTTGGCGGATAGAGGGTGTCACGTGGTCAGCGCAATTGATCCCCACGGCCGTTAATATCGGGTTTCTAGACCGGAGCCGCTACTTTTCCATTCAAGTAGCTCCTCAGTTATCCTCACGAGGCTGAGTGGACCCCGTTACAGACCCACTACTCAGAAAATCTGGTAGCGCCGAGAATCGAACCCGGGACTTCAGGATTTGTAGGCAGGGACTTTGACCACTGGGCTACAGAGTCGGTCCAACTTCATAGGTAAGCATATTTAATTATTCTTCCATCCAATGTACATATCATCAGCTGACGAAGGGAACATGAATACAAGTTGCGAGGAGGTTTGTTTAATCCATTTTAGCGACACTGCGTACTATTCAGGTCCCCTGGTTTGAAATCATATGAGCTTATTGTAGAGTGACCTTGATAATGGACAACTCTTCTGCTTCTAGTTCGAAGTTGTAACAAATATAGAAACTTAGACTGCACTCTGAAATTTAATCTGTAAATATTTCACTCGTCTGTTTTTTGTGTTTCATTTCTTGGGGGCTTCGTGTGTTGTTTATTTGTTCTCCCATTCGTAACCATCATGTGTGCGTGTATATAGACTTATATGTATGTGCCTTGTGTTCTTTATGACAGATCCTGGTATGGTTTGCCTTTCGCCTTGAAATATAATTAAAACTTTTAGGGGGCGGAAAGTATTCAATAATTTATTATAAGGACGATATATGTCTCACATTGCACGTCTCTTGACTCTCTCCCCCTCTCGTTCTTCATGCATAATAATAAACCACAGAGTCTGGTGCAGTTTCTCATATTCCTTCGCAGAGAATAATATTGTGCTGTCAAAAGATTCGAAACGAGAAAAATATCTTTGGAAATGGTACGCTGAGAATAAGAGTGTGTTATGTCCACTGTTTGTATGTTGAACTAATTAACTCAGTAGGGACCGTAAGGGCATCACAAGCGCAGTCGAATCAACAAGAACAACGAATCTTTGATGCAAAGGTTTATGCTATAAACTGTATTGATTTAGGCCTGTTTATATGAAAGAGAACTTATTTTCTTAAACCCATGTGTCATGTTATAGTAAGTAAGTAACGTGTCGCAATAACAGAAGTTGTTCAGTGACGTTTTAATGAATTATCATACCATTGTTGATAGATTTCAATAATTTCTATCTCAAGTTCACGTGGATTTGTGGTTCTCTCAGCGGTGGCTATGAAACTACCATGTGACGCCACGTAGTCCCGTAGATGTTTTTCGAAGTAACTCATCTTCAGGGTCTAAGAGTTAGCAACAAGCAAAAAAATAAATAAACAGCTCGTTATTTGCTATCAATTTCACCTTCCGCACGGCAGTTAGTTGTCCGTGAGGTAGGCAAGCTGAGTCAGAGGAAGGAATACTGAAATGTGGAGGAAGTGATGTATGCCAGTGTGGCATTGTCATAGGACTGATATGATTGAATCGTCAGTTGTGTAACAAGCCCGCCTGGAGATACAGAGATTATTTAGCGTCCAAGGAGAAGAATGGTGAGTATGTGAGAGTTCAGAAGGAGACGGCCGTGGCCTGCTTTGAAGTTAATATCCTGACATTCGTCTGGATTCATGGGATGGTCAATTAGTAATTATTTTAGGGGCTCAGTAAAATGGCGGAGAACCTCAGAACAACTGCATACTTTGTAAGATTTGAGGCTTTCACGGCGGTGACTATGAAGAAAGCAGTCTTCTGGGATTTGGCACCGTGTATATGTGGTGTTAACCGACGTTTCGGAGGAACGTATCGCCTCCATCTTCAGGGTAGAAGAAAAAATATAAGAAATCTGCAAGCGAAGAGACCGTGAGAACCGGTAAAAGCAGACCTGATACTTCTTGAATACAGGACTAGAGCGTTGTGGTGGTGGTGTTGGCCTGCAGAAGCAGGATCAGATGAGTAGCAGGCCGCAAAGTTTAATTTCTCGAGTCATTCGGTGCCCAAAGAAATATGAAGGGAAGAAGGACACTGTCTTTCGGAAATGATCTGTTTACACAGAGAAAATGTATGGGGGAGAAGAGGAATGCATATAGGATATTCATGGGAAAGCCAGATGGAAAGAGACTACTGGGAAGACCAGGACGTAGCTGGGTGGACAATATTAAAATGGATCTTAGAGAGATATGATGGGATGGAATGGATTGGATTGATCTGGCTTAGGATATGGAACAGCGGAAGGCTCTTGTGAACACGGTAATAAACCTTCGGGGCCCATAAAATACTGGGAAAGTCGTGAGTAGCTGCACAATTGGCGGCTTCTCAAGAAGGGCTCAAATCCATCAGAGAGTGACACAGAGAAAAGGTGAATGAATATGGATCCAGCAGGAAACATGTTTGCCTAGATTTGTTGAGGCTTATTTTCCATATTTAAGATACTACATTTAGTGTTTTAAACCGTCTCGTTGTAAAAATAAGTTAAATGTATTAAAAGTCTTGCATGAGTGGTTACACTAAAGGAAAGGTTCTACCCCGCTAACCTGACAACTCGCTATTGGACTTGATTCGCAGCCAGTTAAATCCTACTTACGGCTTAAAGAAGTCATTAGGTATTATTCCATGTTTATATTATATTCCTCCTGTTTGGTTTCGGAAGAGATTTGCTCATCAGATTCCCAAATCATTCCAAATTTGATCTTTATTCTATTCGGGCTTAATATCCAATTTATTTCAACTTTCTTATTTAGTTCTGCTGTCTTTGACGTTAATATATTTTCTCGTAAATACGGTATCCCTAAGTCCGTGTGTAGGCCATGTATTGGAAAATGACATTTTCCTGAGCATTAGCCTTCAAATACTTGACATTTAGGTTAAGATACGAGACTAGGGCCGTAAGCGTGCGTAACAAATCAGTCAGTCAGGAATAAGGGACACGATGGGCGACTGAAGAGCGGATATATTTCCATTTCCAACTAAGGGACTCGTGAACATGTCTCGGCTAATGACAACATGGAGAACTGTACGTGGGAGGTTTCTCAGACTGTATTGTGGGTATTTTAAGGAAAGTATTTGCATAAGAAGCAGATTCATACTGCAGGCTTTGATTACGACGTAAATACAGTCAACTGAATGAGAGACAACGAATGCTGAATTCAAGGATACGTTGTCCCAAAAAGTGTCATAAGCATACACGCACAGGGGAAGACCAATATGCAGGAATGGGTGGAAAAGTCAGTTTTGTACAGACTTGTCACACTGAAATTAGAGCACCTATCCCATGTGAAGAAGGCAGAAGAGGAAAAAGAAGAAAATAGCAGTTGTATCTTCAGGGATATAACACAGAGCAGAACTTTCTCTCTGCTTCATACTGGTTTCCTGCTTGGCGTATTTTTCAACCCTGAAGTAGAGGAGAAATGTTCAACCGAAACGTCGGTTGATTTTCAACGGTCTACATGGCGTTATATCCCAAAAGAGAATTCTTCATAAACACCGCTGTGAGAACTTCAAATCCTGCCAACAAAACTATACCTTTACTAGTTTGGAAACACGAAATTAAGTTGCCGGAAGATAAATACGTGTAGTGAGTCGCTACACTTAGGTGTAGACCAGCTATTGGCTCATTAGGAACACAGATGATTAACCAAGTCGATCAGAAAGAGATACTTGGGGGGGGGGATTGCACTGCACGCTTTAGAATTATATTTACAGCCCTGCCAAGTGAAAGAGATTTCTTTTTGTGTGTGTATGTGAAAATCTGTTACGAATTCCTTGTGTAATGTATTTCGAAATCACACTAGCTTTTTCTGTGGTGTGCGGAAGGCATTTCCTAGGAATATTGGCTCAGTGCCACGTCGGTCAAAGGAGATTAATTGCGCTGTTGAATCACACAACTTGAATTGAATTTAAGGAAAGTTCTATATGCCACATTTGCATTCAGAAACTTCTACTGTTAATGCTAAGAGCGGATATACGTATAAAACAAAAACGCCTTTTACCCTTCAGCCATTCTTATTTAATATTTTTGTGTGGAGTTCTGTGCATTTTTCAAGACGAAAATATGCAAATAAGTAACAGAAAAAGGAAGCAGACAAAAAAAAAGCGAGAAAGAAGGCACATCAGCTAAGCAACCGTCGGGCTTCAGTGCAAGAGATTTTTATTGTGATGGAGGTCACTACTAACATGTTCCCATGGGGCATGCCAGATGTGAGAAATTAATGGGATTTAATATGGGGCTGGCGAGTGTGCGGAGAAGTAGCGGAGAAACGAGATGCTGGTTGCAGAAGCGGGGAAGAGGGTTTCAAGCGAAATGGAAATATACCGAGTTCGGGAAACCTCCACACAAACCTTTAAGGGCCTATTTGTCTATAATCCGTCTGAATTGCAACACTTTTTATTTTGCACTTCAATACACACTCTAACACTACACGTTTCGGCCTCAAACGGCCATCTTAAAGTTTTTTTTTACAGATATTCAATTAAGATTGTGAAGATTGTGTCGAAATTTTGTCGAAACTGCTGCACTGTTTCACTGTTCCAATTCAAAAAAAAAACCACACGCTGTAGTCTTCTTTTTAATTAAAATGAGATAAAATTTGTTATAAATTGTTACTTATTGTTTTGCTTCACTCAGGGTGTCGTCATTTACGTAAAATATAAGGAAAAAGCACCTAAAGATGGCCGTTTGAGGCCGAAACATGTAGTGTTAGCAAGTGTATTGAAGTGCAAAATAAGGAGTGTTGCAATTTAGACGGATTATAGTCAAATGGACGCTAACGTGAATAATTTCAACAGGATGCTGAAATACAGAAACCTTTAAGGGAACTGAGTACAGTTTTGGAGAGGATTTCAAACACCAGTATCTTCTTCCTGCATCAGGGATAGGTCATTTTGTACTAAGGCCTCGTGGTGCTATTTAAAACGACCCCGCTGACCTGACAGTCACAAAATAATCTATACTAAAATCATATTTAGCTGTCAATTGTTCTAACTGATCATAGTTTATAGACACTACATAAAGATCGAGGAAACCGAGTAAGGAGGTTGAAACGGGAACGTTTCTTTCTTGTATTCGAGAGATGTTGTGTTCGAATCTCGTCCGGGAAACCGACTGCCCTGAGGTTTTTTCCCTCCTGTTAGGCCACGACCGCTTCCTTGCATATATTTCCCAAAGCATTGTTCACTATTATCCATTCAGTCGACACTATAGAGGCTGAGCTACAAACAGCGTCTCTAAATAAAGTATAAGACACATACTCTAAACTCTGAGGTGTTGTTGAGATGTTAAGCGA